AGATTCCGAAATCTCCTCAAACCGAACGACCCCTTCCCGATTTTCCTTCATGTCGCTCTGAAGAAGCTTGCAAAAGAACGGACTCGCTGCGGAAAGAACATTTCTGTGAGCTTTTAATTCCTGGTAATCTTTCGTAATCAAAGTTATGTCGCATAATTGGCCTTGTTTTCGTTGTATGTTGAGCCGTTTCATCATTTCCAGACAGAAGGGATTCTGTTCTGTGACAGCGATGGGTGGAGGGTCTTCCATTGTCAAAATATTAGCCTTGTTTTCGAGGTTTGTAAACAGATTGGCTGTGATTAATACGTCAAAACACGAATAACACGAATACGGAATTAGTAGAACTTTATCGTACTTAGGGTGCCCCGGCTTCGCAAGGAGCGGCTACACTAGCTAGGGACCAGGCGCAGAGATGGTGGCAAGAGGTACGGAAGATGGGAGAGGAAAGGACGGGATGCACACCATTTTTCCGGGACGAGAAAGTAATGGGACGAGTAGAAAAAGAGTAGGGACGAGAAAATGCTTGATACAAATACTCCTCAACCATCGGTGTGGAGTGTTCAGCAATCGGTGGAGGGTTGCTGGTCAGTGAGTACAGTCTATCCTGGTTAAGACAATCTTGGATTGTAAACTATTTTCTTCATGGGCTTATTGGGCTATCAAACAACAACGCGATCTGAAACGATTTTTGATGATCAGTGGTTGTTTATGTCATGGGGCAATGTACACATTAGTTCTAGACAAAAAATACAGAATACTAGTGTCCCGTTGTACACTCCTGGTCTGGTTCTCAACTCGGTCGCACAACTCTACACTTCCGCGGGAAAGGGTTTTGGCGTGACTAACTGACTAGAGAATGAGCTACAACTGAACTGAAATTGGTACCTTCGAAAGGAGAGAAAGTATTATGAAAAACAGATTGAAAGAACGAAGAGAGAGAAAAAAACGTAAATCGTTTGAGAGGGAAAGAACTGTCGAAGAGACGAAAGCGTGGTCCAAGCTCTCTCTAAACGAGGCGAAGAGGCCTGGAAACAACCTTTTTGACTACTTCCGCCTATAAAGTTTCGCTTTGTTGTCGCCATCCTAGCTCGCGAGTTAAATCTACCATATTAAAGCCATTCTTTAGGGTATGGAAGATCTACTTCCTATCACTGAAACTGAACAAGCTTTATTCTGTGTTGAACTTATGAAGCGGCTCAACATGCAGAGGAAGTAAGGGCAGTTATGCGACATAACTTTGGTGACGAAAGAAGGCAAAGAGTTGAATGCTCACAGAAATGTGCTTTCCGCCGCAAGTCCGTTCTTTTGCAAGCTTCTTCAGAGCGATATGAAGGAGAATAAAGAGGGAATTGTTCGCTTTGAGGAGATTTCGGGATCCGTTGTGGAAGATATTCTTGAATTTCTCTACACTGGAACTGTTGAAGTGACCGAGGAAAATGCCGAAGAACTCGTCGCTGCAGCAAATTATCTACTACTACCGAGTTTGAAAGTTATTTCCGGTCGAATCATAGAGCAGAAGATGAACTACTCGAACTGCATTTCAACTTTTTACCTAGCTGAGAAATATCAGTGCGACGAACTTTTAACCGGAAGCAAGAATTTCATCCAGGCAAATTTTGCTTCTGTGGCAGTAATGGATGAGTTTTTGAGCTTGGAGTCTAAAGAAGTCGGAAGGTGGCTTTCAAGCGACGAAATTACGGTGAAAGTAGAGGCTGATGCGTTTGAAATCATGTTAAAGTGGATTGAACACAACAGAAGCGAGCGGAAAGCAAATTTGGAGGAATTGTTTCGTCACGTTCGGCTGGACTTCTTATCGCGTGACTACTTAATTGATGTCGTGACAAACGAACTTGTACAAGAAAACCCCATTTGTTTAAAGATGGGATTAGATGCGTTGAAGAAGACCACATTTTCAATTGAAGGAGAAAAACAACAATCGCCGAGAAAAGGGGTCGAAACAAGCGCCATTGTAACCATTGGAGGAAATTACACTCTTTGTTTTCTTCCTGAGAAGGACCAGTGGAAACGTTTAGCCGACAGACGGTCGTTTGGCATTAACGATATTTATTACATTATAAAATTCCGAGAGCAGCTGTATGCATTTCGGAGTAACTATGACAATGCAGAGGGTTTTAATCCATTTTTAAACGCTTGGTCCACGTTAGACATTTCTGCAAATTACTCCCCGGTTGTTGCCGTTAAAGGGGAAATCTACGCCGTCGAGGTTCAAACTTCTCCGGAACAAACCACAGTGAAAAAATACAATGTCGAATCGTGTATTTGGGAGACACTTCTCTCGTCTCTTGAAGGCTGTAGAGGGGAAGCTTGTCTTGTTGCAGCCGGCAGCCATCTCTACGTGCTTGGTGGGAGACCTCCCTCGTCGTCACAAAACGTCGCGAAAGCTGAGAGATTTGACACTGTGGAAAACAAATGGGAGGAAATCGCTGACATGCGAGAAGAAAGAGGTAATGCCTTTGGAGTGGTCATGCATGAGAAAATCTTTGTCGCTGGTGGATCGCATAGAGAGAGAAATTCAGTGTTGCAAACCTGTGAGGTGTATAACATCTCAACAAATGAATGGTACCTTACCGGAAGCTTGATGGTTTCTCGCAAGGAAGGAAGTATGGTTTGTCTGAATGAAAAATTGTACGTGTTGGGTGGAAGGAATGACCGTAACGAGGCCGAACGGACGATTGAATGCTTTGATCCTGAGGAGGGCAAATGGATCCACAAGACAATCATACCAGTAGAAAGGTTTGACAGAAGGAGTAACATTTCATTTACTGGCTGCGAACTGAAGCTTTCTAAGGGAGTACTGGACAAACTTAAAGTTATCGGGGAGTAGTCTCTTAGACACTTAATTTACGGAATTAATTTCAATACGCTGGGATTATAAATGGCACAATATGCTATACTGACTTTAGTATTTGTTACACAAAGTGATGAACACAACATAAAACCGCCATGTTGTAAATTCTAGTCTAAATTCTAGTCAATATAATCAATAGGTTAATTGTTACTAGTACCACCTTGACAACATCACACTATGAGGGGTATCGAATGGTCCCACTAAATTTAAAAGTGCTCGCTAAATTTGGCTTTTGCTCGAATTGCTCGCAAAAATTACAAGGGTGTTCTCTTGCTCATGCTCGCAATATTTTTGCAACTGCTCGCATGCCGCATTCTCGTTAACATGTGCTCGCGGATTGCTCAAAATTTCGTTAATCCTGCTTTGTAGTTATTTTTTATTCATACATAAACGATAAATCAGTTGTGATACTGTTACAACAAAAAGGTTGAAAAATCCTTACCTTACAGTTCAGCCCGTAACTGTTTTGGAGGCGCTGTATGTATTATCGGGGAAACGCACGAAGCTTCACGACAATCATTTCGTTTATTGGTTTATTCTTTATCATATTTCATCATCGCAAGCTTTCTGCTTGAGAGGGGTTTAGTTCCGCAGTTCAAATATGTGATCTTTCATTTATTCACTTCTTTCTTCACCATCCAAGGGTATATTACGAACTCACAACGTAACCAGTTCCCAGTTGGCTTGATAGCGCAGTTAGTAGGGTACTGCACCGGTATTGCAGAGGTCATGGGTTATGATCCCGTTCAGGCCTGAATCTTTTTCAGGGTTTAATTTCACAACTACTTAAGTTGTGTGTTTAACTGCAATATATAATCAATCGTGTTCATAGAAGTAGTGTCATACATACATACATACATACATACATACAAACATACATACATACATACAAACATACATACATACATACATACGAACATACATACAAACATACATACAAACATACATACAAACATACATACAAACATACATACATACATACATACATACAAACATACATACATACATACATAAACTTTATTTACCTCGAATTTAAGAGTAGCTGTAAGCTAATATCTTCGCGTGATTAAAATGAAGTAAAAGGAATAAGCTAAACTAGAATAAATGAATACTAATACATTAATGATGATAAATATTTACATATGAACATCATTTAAATATTATTATCATACTACTAAATTCAGTATAGTTACAGAAAGGAGTCATACTGAAGTATTTGGCGCCGAAAGTCTGGAAAATTGGAAGTCCTAAAGGTGTCCGGGAGAGAGTTCCATAAGTTAGCAGCTAATTAAGAGAAAGAGTGAAGGCCATATGTTGTAATTTTAGGTTTTGGAAGGGACGAGATGTAATTACCACCTAAGTTATAGGACGTAGATCTAAACGTAAACATATCATTTAAATATCTTGGATAGTTAGTAAAAAATAAACTCTTGTACAACATGATTAGAAAATTCTGTAGGCGTCTGACTTGAAGAGATTTTAAGGTGACCTTATCCAGTAACGTATTATACGAGGATTCATAATCTTGTAAAAGAAACCTTAAAATCCGCTTGTTTTAGGCCCTTTTTCTGTAAAGTCTTAACCTCATAACGCTTTGTCTCTACTGCGTTTTGTAAAGCCTTTCGTGACGGCTTTCGTGACCTCCTTTCTGGTTCGTGTTCTCCATGCGCTCCTTCGCTGACTAATCCTTCTCCGTTTCTATTCATGATTTATAGGCTCCTTCCTTAAAATCTACAAGGTACGGCTTACCTCAATCTTCTCTGTAATTCAAGATCCGATTTTTTACTGTCGCGTTCCCGATGCCGCAGACACGTGGTGTTGTGCACCGGAGTTCGCCAGTATAACCACAGTGTTGAACTTTAGACAAGTAGCAGCATCAAACTCTTTATTCACTTAAGCTGGCAGTCTTTGTACAGCACAGGCGGTAAAAACTATAGAACGGATACATGAAGGTTCGATATAGAGAAAACCGAAAGACTACGAAACTAGAAATGATAAAAATGAGGAGTATTACAAGCGTAACTTCCATCCGATCTTCACTCCGGGGTAGAGAACTCCTAAACTCCGTTCGGCTCCGAAATGGTTTCGCTACAGTGAATCCTCGCAACTAAACTACTTGCTAATAGAAGGCGAATTTAGTTCTTAGACTTTGACGTAGGGGAAATAGAAATGAATAGTGCTTTGTGTAGCTAGCTTTGAGCGGATATTCGCTAGTCACGGAATAGAAATCAAACAAAGCGCGCTAACAAATTTAATAGAAAGTCATATAAAGTTTCTTAGCGTCTTTGTGCTAAAAACGGAAGAGTTACATAAGTACAAAAAGATTAGAGTTCGTATCCATAAACGTGACAGCTATGAAGGGGTACAATGTAGAGAAGTATGCATGGGGGACACTTCACACATCTCATGGACAGTGCAGAAAGAATGCTTGTGTTGTTGCAGCCGGCAGCCGTCTGTACATGTTGGTTGGAAGGAATCAAGTCACATGGGATTACTCCGAAAAAGCTGAGAGATTCGATACCGTGGGGAACAAATGGGAGGAAATCGCAGACATGCTACAAGAAAGAAGCCAAGCTTTTGGAGTGGCTTCTCGAGGAAAAATCTTCGTTGCTGGAGGAACAGGCTGGACAGGGGACGTACAAACTTGTGAGACGTACACTACGTCGACAAATGAGTGGCAATATGTTGCGAACTTCAGCGTTCCACGTTCTTGTGGTAGTATGGTTTGAATGGAAAGCTGTACGTACTGGGTGGATCAAATGAGAGGAACCAAACTGAATTGAGTGTTGAATGTTTTGACACTGCAAAGGAACAATGTATCCACAAAACAACCATTGCAGTGGCAATTATCGACCCAAGAAATAAGTATGCATTCACTGGCACTACTCTTAAGCTATCCAGAGAACTACTAGACTAATTAAAGATTGTCGCAATTGGGGAGTAGTCTCCTAGAAATTTAACAGCTGTGGAATTAGAGAGCCTAATATTTAGACTATGGCGTAGAGCAGGCATAAGCATTTGTCTTTCATTGGATTTTTATATTAGCTTACTTAAGGAAATGCGAAGTCGTAAGCATGGGAGGTACTTCACTCATCTGATGGAGTGTGTAAAGTGAATGCTCATATTGCTGCAGCTGGCATCCATCTGTATATGTTTGGTGGATAGGATCCAAACAAAATGCAATCCGCCACGAGGGTTTAAGAGATTTGACACTTGAAAACAATTGGGAGGAATTTGTAGACATGCTCGAAGTACGACTCGACGCTTTTGCAGCGGCTTCTCAAGAGTAAATCCTCGTCACTAGAGGATTACTCAATGAGGAAATATTAAAAACTAGCGAGATGTACAATACATCAACAAACGAATGGCAACTTATTGCAAGCTTGAATGTTCCATAACATTACGGAAGTATGGTTTGTCTGAAAGAAAAGCTGTACATACTGGCTGGAAGAAATGAAAGTTTAAGGGGCCAAACTAAACTAAGTATTGAATGTTTTGACACAGCTAAGGACACATGGATCCTTACAACAATAGTGCCAGTCACCTAAAACCTGTTGTTTGGTTGTGTTCTGAGACTCACCAGAGAACTACTCGGCAAACTTGAGGTTCTTGGGGAGTAGTCCCTCGAACGCACTACAGCCTCGAAATAAAAGAGCTTAAATATAATGTTCACGACAATGGGCGAGCAAACAAAGTTCATCGTGGATGATACACGATGAATTTTATTTGACTGGTCTAAGGATTAACTCGGGGAGGGGCCGAGAAAAATCATAGGTCATACTGCGATGACTGCTTTTGGTTGTTAATCTGATATTTAAACTCCGTATCGCAACATGGCATGTACTGGCATGTGGCAAGCACTGGACTGCTACATCATTAAACTTGATTCCTGTTAGACACCTTTACAGTCAAAAGCGACTTGTCATTGTGTTAATGGGCTCACTCATTAACCCTTTACACCCTAACACCAGTATGCATATTCTCCATACTGTTTTCTATACATTTTATAGGGTGTTGACTAAGAGAATTTGTTTTACCTTAATGTGTGATTCAGGGGTGATATTGTAAGGAGAAATTAGATGTTAGTCACTCTTAGGTGTTATAGGGTTAAGGAGCTTATCAGGAAGTAGAATACTGACCGTGTTTTCCTCAAAACTATGATTGAATTTCCTCCAAACCGAAAACTCGTCAAGAGTAATGATACAAACTGAGGTTAGATGATGCAGGAACCACATAAGCAGTTAATTAAAAGTGTAAAATCTAAAAAAAAATAGAGAAATCACTGTCTAGAAAAGGAAGCGTCTTAAGCTGCACGGAATCCCAAACTCGAAACTGCAACATTTATAATTCGAAAATCATGTCTCAAAAGTAATTCAATTCAGTAAACCGAAACGCCTGAACTCCTTTCTTCGAGCAGAAAAATTGGTGTATTGATTTATTGAAGGTACTATCGTTTTCTGAAGAAATGAAGCGAACATTGCACTAACCGAATAGATTAACATTGTTAATTTACTTCATCGAGAAAAAGCGAGGAGATACCTTTTGAATACAATACCTTAATGTAACTGATTGTTTTGTTTTATTTTTTTTTTAGCATAATGGGAATTGGCAAGTATTTTAAGGTCACTCAGTCAGATCGAATTTCGTTTATTTTCCTGAAAATTACAGTGGATTTTCTATCCTTAACTGCTAAAGTATTATTCTTCTCTTCTCCGCAGCTCAGTGACATTTGAGCGAAATTTCCGGAAAGTAAAATGACTCTTCATGCCTGTAACTCAATATCATTTCTGCTGATTTGAACAATAGGGTCATCCTGTCATCCTAATCAATAAGCCCTATGCCGTTACACCCCAGTTTTTAAATTTCGCCCCTGGCGGGGGAAGGGGGGAGGGGCGTGGAGGATTTCAGGGGATCGTATGGTTTTTCAGGGGAATGGAGGGGGGATCAGTTCTCGCCCGGTCCTTAGT